AGTGTTTCTGTGATTCTGTGATTCTGTTATGTAGTATTGTTATGAATCAGATTTCAAGCAGCTACTTGAGCACCCAGGAAACCCAGTTTGAAAGTTAAAAGGCTTGAAACTTGAGTGAAAGCTAAACTGTAGTTTCATATGACTGCACAGGAGGTGACAGTTTCCTGGTATTAACCTATATTTGTCTCTATACTAAACATTTTTTTTGTTCTAAGGGAAAGGTATGCAAACGGGTTAAAAGTGTTACCTTTAAGTAAAGTGTTTGGGTATAAAGAAAAAGAAATACAGAGCCGTAATTTACCTGGGTATTCTTTCAAGTTTAATGAGAGTAATCTAATTACCAGCTGGCTACATTAAAGCCTTTCTTGCAGTCTTCCTAACTGCTTGCCTTCTCTTAGTAGTGTAAGATGGGGCAGGGTCACTGCCTTAATTTCTTCCCGGTCTTTTGCAAGCACACTGTTGTTTGGGTTTGGGTTTTTTCTGAGTAGTAGATTAGAAGGTACTAATACTAGTGGGCAATGAATAATAGCCTTACGCTTTTTTCCCCACACATGTAGTTTCTTAAAAATACAAACTTTCAGTGTAACCTTCTTTAGTGGTAAGCCTAAATGATTTACTAATACGTTTGGTGATGTATAGTTTTTTTGAAGTATTTTAGCTGTGAAACTGTGATTTTAAAGTTATATGACAAATGCCACTCAATCACATTTAAAGGAATGTGTAATTTACAGTTCTGTTTTTTGAACACTGCATGGACCTCCATTCTCAATAGTAATGTTCACACCCTAGCTTTGAGGTCTCTTCTTGATAATGCTAGGTTATGCATAGAAACAGTGGCCTTTTAGGCCATCATTTCCTCACTCATGGCCATAACTTGAGTTCAGAATGTCTGTTTAGAGGCTCAGATGGAGACATTTGACTCTTAAGACAGCATACCTTGACCAAAAAATCTATATTATTTGAGGAAGAAATATTTGTCTGGATTTCAATTAGCCCATAGGCTGCAGTTTGGATCACATCTAGAATTTTTGTTTTCTTTGAGTTTGTATCATTCAAACCAGCTGCAGATAGCTGGCTACTTTTCATCATAATATTCTGTCATGTTTTCTGCTCATTACTAGGCAGGTTGCTCAGACCCAGTGGAGCACAGGTATAAAGCTCTGGTGAGTAATGCATTCTTAGTTGCATGCTTGGGTTGCAGTATTTGTATACTCAGCAAATAGGCATTTTGGCTTGTATCTTTTGCAAGTTTATCCTGTAACCTTTGCAAATAGAAAGGGACTTCAGTGCTCTGTAGTGCCCATACAATCAGCAGAAGAGAAATTCCTGCAGTGATTCATTACTAGTGTAGATGTCATAAATAAGAGAGGGGAACAGTTGACAGGGGTTTTTTTTGAGAACTCATGTTGGTTTTAAGAAAATGTGTAAGATGGAAAGCAAATCAAGATGAAAAAATACTTGAAGAAAGACTTAAGTACTTGCCTGTAGTTGTAAACATGAGAAAAAGGTAAATAACTATTTATGCTGTTACATGAAGTATGTGTTATGTGTTGATTTTTATTGCAGTGAGGAGGACATGTATCGTGATGCAGAAGAAATAGAGAGAGAGAAAATACTACTTTGTGACACAAGCTCTTCAGGTACATTTGAAGTCTGTTTCAAATACAGTATTAAAATTCATTGTAGCACTAATTTATGATGCTTTGATGCCCTCATTTCCAAGGATTTTTGTGCACAGATGTCTTCGTGTGCAATAGAAACAACTTACAGTGACTATGTTGTACAGTTTAATTCACGAAAAGATCAATTTTATGTAAAACTAGTTGCTTGTAGTATTTTTTCCCTGTGTTTCTCTAGTAACTTTACAAGAGAACATGAATCCTTGGGAAAGCAGTCATACAGCCTATGTTATGAGTGTTGTGCTTGAAAATTACTGATCTATAGTCCTTATAGCAGCATCTGTTGCTGGGATTCCTTAATAACTGTATTACTATCTGTTTTGGAATGAATGCTGTTGGGATTCCAAGAGAAAACTGTATTTCTTCTTTCTACCATTGTTTCTAGCTTAATCAGAAAGCTCTATTGTCTTTCTTCCTTACAGTCCAGCTGCTGAAAGAAGAGGAGCCTTTGCCCAACGTTTTTCTGATTGTTAAGAAAATTAAGCGTACTAATTTCTACTCTTTGTCAGTTAGTCTCTTTCAGAAGAGAGGAGCAGTGTTCTCTATTTTGTTGGACTACATCATCATTTTTGTTCACTTGTCATTTTCAGCACAAGTTGGTTCCCCCCACCCCCCTCCAATAATTACTTAGTAGCTGTAGGTTGTGCTGCCAGTCTCCTTTGGCACCAGTGTTAAAGTGATAGAGTGTACTTAGAAATTCAGTACTTTTTCTGTGTTGTTCGGTTTCAAGGTTCACAGTATAATGTTATGTATTCTGTTTTGATAGAATATAAACTAAGTGTTGCACCTGAAATGGACATCATGGAGTATTGCAGAAAAGAATGGAGAGGAAATACACCAGTAGCAAAAAGGATGAGAAAGGTACTGGTTCTCTCTGTGTTGAATTTTGTTAGGCTTTTTGTTTTCATTTGTATGTTTAGTAGGTGATTTCCTTTGGGAACTGTCTTTAAAACAGGAAATACAATAGCAGTGTTTTCCAGTGTCTGGTCTTAGAAGTTGCTGATGACTGATGGAAGATGGTTTTATTCATACTCACTCAAAATGTGTTTTTTGGTAAGGCTACTTGTTGATAGTGTAGGGTTTTGATTAATACTGTTCTTCATTACTGTTTTCAGTTTGAAGTTTTAAATTCAGTTTATTACCATAAAATGGTGATCTTGTGGGTGGTTGAAATGGCAGAGCAAATAACCAAACTTTCTGACAGAAAGCAAATTACTGAAATTGGTATTTTTAAGATGGGGTGTTTTAATGAATAGGCTCTGTTTTTCTTAAATGTTTCCTGAATTCTTATTTTTTGGAGGTTTTGGACTAGTTTTCTTATACTAATCTTGAACTAGAGTGGTAGTAATAAAGCATTAGGTTGGTTGGATGTTTTTTTTGTTGTTTGGTTTTGGTTTTTTAGCACTTGAAAATTTAGTGCTATGTATGAGTAAGCCTTAAAAAAATACTTCCTATAAATCAAAAGATCCATGTGTCACCTTCAAGAGATTGGTAAGAGAAATACAGATGCACAAGGCATTGGACCTTGCTAGGTTACCTGAAGAGACATGCTGAACTTCAGAAGTTATGTTTCAACATTGCTGCTTCTACTAAAAATGTACATATGGGAACAGCAAGGAGGGGATAAATGTGCTAAGCCATGCATCAAGATGCCTCAGTGTAAATACAAATTTTCCCCAAAGCAAAACCAAACTATGTGTGACACGTATTGCCTAAATAGAATAATCTATTGCTGAAACTTGTGAGCATGATATGTTTTTAGATTTATAGTCTTGTGTGTGTATGTTTGGATTTTTTTTAAGCAGTGGGTTAGCTACCCACATTTCAATGATATTTCTGTTCTGTCATCAAATAAGTGCTACAACCAATTATCTACTTAGATTTCTTTGGTTTCTTGTTTGTTATTCGGCAGAACTAAGGGACATATGTTTTTTTTCAAAGCGTAATTTGTGACATAAAAGCGTTTGAACTTCCAAAATGGCTAGTGGATCAAATCCTTTTTTTTTACAGCATTAACGTTTGGATGCTAATATTCCAATATCTTTTATGATACCAGTGCATGACCTTAAAATGTTTTGCTAATGCTTTAATGTTGTTTGGATTTTGTGTTTTTCTAGGGTTATGAAGCAGTTGCTCAAAAGTTTGCATCTATAAGGAGAGTACGAGGAGATAACTATTGTGCTCTCAGAGCAACACTGTTCCAGGCTCTAAGCCAAGCTACCCAGTTACCAAGCTGGCTGCAGAGTGAGGATTTTATTATGGTATGTGTCAAACTGATATTCTGACAGTAGAGGAATATTGGTTCTAACCTATTGGATAATTTTATGATCTCATTTCCCTATTATGCTATATGCTCACTTCTCAATATCACTTCAGTTCAGAAGTGGTAATGTTCAGTTTTCTTGTCTGTTTACAGTGATTCTTTCAACTTGGAATTGAGTCCAGGTCCCCTTAGTTTCTGGTTTATAATGTAGAAATGTTACTGTAATGCTGACTGTAATGTAACTTGTCTGTCTTCATCTTGCCCTCTTGGTTTCTTCTTAATGCAGGTAATATGGCAGTAAGAGGTTTCCCGTAAGACAGTTGGTAGTAGCAAAAAATATAGACAACTTATGTGAAATTTGCACATTTGAACAGAAACAAACCCCTGCTTTTAAAAATTATCATCTGTATTCTTGTGTGCCAGATATGGTTTCTTTAGAAGTGGATGAACAAATTGGATGCTGCAGGCTTTCCAGAATGTATGTATTGCCTGCATCTGAAATGTTACTTGAAATAAGTGTGTAAGGGCAACTCCAACCTGATACGTAGAACAGTCCTTATGGAGCATTGATGGATAAACAAAGCAAGGCATCTTAGTAAGAGTAGAAGAAAAATATTCCAGCAATTGTCTTGTGTCAACAAAGTCTATTTGGTGATATCAGTGAATGTGGAAGAAAAGAAGCTGCCTATACAAAAGTGGCCCGCTTGAGGAGAGTAAGTTTCCAGTTGTCCAGGTTGCTGCTGGAAATATAACTGAAGAATGTCTGATGCAGACTCCATGTTGTAGGCTAGGAGTCCAGGTAGAATCATACTGCTCTTACTGCCTTCCTGTATAAGTTTAATGCCATCTTAAAATTTCTCGTTTCGATCACTGTCATTGTTAAGTAAACGTCTGCTGATGTGTTTTTGTAATTACTGATAAGAAACATTTCATAGAAATATTTTTACTGCATCAGTACATTCTAAAATGGTTTCGTTTTTAGAAAAAGCATTCTCCCAGCTGACAACTGTCTCCGCATTGTCAAACTGTGGAAGATAGTTTCCCAGTGCTTGTTTAACAAACCTGCCAACTTTTAAAAATTATGTACTTGACAGTTTTTAAATGACATTCACCTATTTTTTCCTACTGCTTTATAGAGGAAAATGTGGTGTATCATGGTAATTAACGTTTTTAAAAAGGTGTACAACGTATTTAATAAAATGCACTAATTAAAATGATGAACTGTTATATGACCTATGCTTCAATTCATTAAGAGAGAGTGTGGTGACAGCAAGCAGTACAATTTCAACAAAGTTTGTTTTTTTAAAATATATTAAAACCTATGCTTACATGCACTTCTCTAGTTGCAGGAGTTACTGCCATGTAATGTTCGATTATTTAGTTCTGTATGTCAAATTAGCATAGGATGCCAGGCTGGGGTGGAGGAAGGTCTGTGTATATCTGAAAAATTAAATACTTTGTTGCCATGAAAGAGAGCATATTACTAATTCAGAGTCCTGATAAAATGAAAACTGGCTGGTAATGGCTGATGGTATATGTGCTGCTTTAGCCAAATATTTAATTCAATGTGAGATACAATTACTCTTCCGGTAAAATGGGTTAATACATGAAGGTAAAAAAACTGGGCATGCAACTGCCATGAGGTCCTTCAAGAGACATGTAAAAGCTCTTAACTGAGCAGACGTTGCGTGTGAGAAGTAAAAGAGGCAGTTCTGAGGCTGAGGTATGATCTGGTGCATCCACTAATCCTCAGGTTGTTTTCTTCTTTATCAGAAAACCATCCCCATAGTGTTTTAATTATGTTCTCTGAAGAGAAAACACAGTTTGTGTGTTCTGGACTAAGTAGTCTGCACTCCACCAAGACTTCTGGCTCTATCTGATGGATGTCATCACATCTTTAACCTTCTCTTCTGTTGTTTCAGGGACACTTTTCAAACACAGTCACTGTCATCTGCTGCTGGAGGGTTTTTTAATTAAAAAAAAAAAAGCCATTAGTAACTTAGGGTAATTAGTTTTTCCGGTGCTTATGTATTGGTTAGATCAGGGAATAGCAGTAGACTAGTATTCTGACTGTTATCCAGCAAGTATTATAAAGATGCAGTTGTGTTCAGTTTATGGTCATGTTAATATGACATCTGTTCAGGAGAACATACGAGGGATCATTTTAAGGTGCAAAATGTAAAATAATAATAATAAATTCAATAAAGTAATAATGTGCAAGGGTGGTGGCTTTTCCTTTCAAGTTTTTTTTGCTTAAGCTGTCTTCTCTTAACTTCCAGCTTCCTGAGAACTTGCTAAGCAAATATGACTGGATCAAGCAGTGGCAGCTAAAACAGAAACTGGGCAGGAAGATGGGAGAAATAAGTGATGAAATTAAAGAATATTTAATGCTTCTAAGGAGAAAGGTTGGAAAAGTTTTTATTCTTGGTCCCTTGCAAATAAGAAAAAAGACAGAGTGTGGTGAATTTACCATAATGATGCTTTCACTAGTGGGGAAAAAAAAAAACCACTTTCTGTATGTAAACTGGAAAAAAAAAAAATCAAGGAAAGAATGTCTGTTCAGATCTGTGGGAGTTTTCTGGTCTTCCACGGCTTGCCTTAGCCTGATGCTGGAATTAATTTGTAAGCAGCTCTGGAAAAAAGTATTAGACAGGGTTCAGTGAAGAAATTCATGTAATAGAGTAACATTTTCCTTCTGTTGTTTCTTGTATTTATTTGAAGAAGTGATGTATACTGTGGATAAATGCTGTTTCTACCTTGAACAGGTCATGGAAGGAAAAAACCAAATAGAATAATGCTAAAATGATTTCAAAGGAGTAGTTTGTTTCATGTTTATACATTTTTATTCTAGGTTAACATAACAGGAAAATGGTTGTGCCCTTTCTGTGTCCGTAGTATATTACTTGGTCCAATCTTTACCCCCTTGAAACTCTGGAACCTGTTTAAAAACTCTTTAGTTGTTCCTGTCTTACTGTGTATGCATATTCGCTCTTTTTTTATTTCTAAGAATATTTTAAAGGCGGCATTCAAGTAGTTTCTGAGGGCAGGAATGAAATACACATTCTGAGTAACTGAAATGTAAAGAATATGAAAGATGTAGGATTTGATAGAGGAAACAAAGATTATTATCTTATTGCTTATTTTACCATGACAATATTTGTTTTGCTACCTTGTAACAATTTCCAACATCCCCTTCTTTTGCTTTGCGTTAAGACTAATTTAAACAAAATCAGACTAACTCAACTTGACTTTGATAGGACTACAGCTGTGGAAATATTCTGGAGTGTTTTTAGAAAGGCAAAGCCCTTCACAAATTCAAATTCTAAGTGTCGGTGCTGTATGTCTGACAATTCACAAGTGGCTTTTTACAGCTCTTGCACGTTAATGGATATTGGTACATGCTGTGTGTGTGTTTTTTTCTTTTTTTTTTATAGTGGAAGAATATAAGTGAAATCAAAGGTTCTATTGAGAAACAAGAAGCTTGTGATAAATTGTTTAAAAATGAAGAGGAGGAGTATAGTCTCTATGAAGCGCTGAAATTCTTGATGCTTAACACTGCCATCGAATTATACAATGATGATAAAAATGGAAGGAGAGTTCCTGTCTTCTCATGGTTACTGTTTGCACGGGATACATCGAGCAACCCTTGTCAGTTAATGCGTAATCACTTGAATCATATTGGTCACAGTGGAGGCCTTGAACAAGTAAGGAACGATTGTTCTTACAGTTGTGGTTTCCTGTTCTGGAGATTTTGGATTCAAGTGGTTTAAGAAATCGCACAGCTTTGTTGGTCTGGCTAAATTTAATGGTGTAGTGTCTGATCTTTCACTGGGAAAAATACAGTAGAACCACTTGCTTGTAGTAAAGAGTCTGTAAAAGCCTTCCTTCTAAACATTGATTTCTGTCTTGCAGCTGATGCTCCTATCTGCTTTTTATTTGGCTAGAGAGTTCAGAGTACCCTCTTAGAGGGAAAGGATCTGTGCCTGAAACCTGTTTCTGTCTTGCTTAGTGACTTAATGGGATGAATACCTATATCAGAGAATGTCTTTCCTACCTGTTCATGGAAGCAGCGAGGTGGGATTCTCTGTGTGAAGTAGCTTTTCTTTAGCACTAATACCCCACTGTACCATTGTTGGTATGAAGAGCTCCATGTTAAAGACGTGGTATCTTAGATGTATTTGTTCAGCCAGTTAAGAATGGCTTGAATGATCGACATACTGAACTAGAGATGCTTATGTATATGCACTCTCATTTACTTCTAAATTTTTTTTTAAAAATTACATCTGATAGGTATTAGTATTTTTGAGAAATATCATATGAAATGTATGTTTAATTTTACACATCATATTTCTGCTTTTTTCCAATGTAGGTGGAAATGTTTCTCCTTGCTTACGCTCTGCAATATACCATCCAAGTGTATCGACTGTATAAATATAGTACTGATGAATTCATCACACTTTATCCCAATGACCCAGAGGAGGATTGGCCTGTGGTGACTCTCATAACTGAAGATGACAGACATTATAATATTCCAGTCAGAATGTGCCAAGAGACTATGCTGTAAACAAGTGATTTTTGGCAGACAAACCTGTGCTGCTTATTGAGATTTCCAGTGCTATTTTGAAACAGGATGATGATGAAACCTGTGTTAGTAAATCTACAACAACTTGAAATGCATGGTTTAGAAGTTTACATGTTAACTAAAATATCAAATAAGTACTACCTTAAAGAGGAAAAGTTTTGCAAGTATGACTTCTGTTGCCCATTAGGAAAAAAAAAGGAAACTCCTGCAGTTCTTTTTTTGAAGGGCTTACTCTGAATAGGAATGCAAAAACTATAGATTTACTTCTTTTAAGAAGGAGGTGAGGCTCTGTGGTAAGACGTGAGCTGATCTGCTCCCTGAAATAATGAGGTAATAATGAATTGAAATTTCTGAAAAAGTAGGGTGCCATTGTCCTGACTGATATTTGTAATGCTGCTTAGAAGCAATTGTACAAATCTTGGGTCTCGGGAAGCAATATAATTCTTTTGCAGTTGAAATTTAATGCCTGCCATGGTTTATGCTATAAGAGATGTTATGCAAAGTTTTCTAATGCTTTGGGTTTTTTCCAACATGAGTATCTTTTTTTATTTAGAGGCCAGTCGTCTGTTACACTGAAAATAGAGAGCTCATTCCCTTTCAACCCCTTGAGAGGATCATAGCAAAGAGACTTGATAATAAGAGAGTATAAAAGTTGTTTCTTAGTAGGTCACAAATTCAAAACTTAGACAGAATTCCTTCTTCAGTTATGATAGCTGGTATGAGATAACCACATGCCCACTAACTTCCATGTCTGTTCATATTACTGTTCCTGTAATGTTAATGCTCGCTGGTAGCTGCTGTGGGGAACAGCAGGATTTTAATTCGTCCAGGAAGTGCAGTAAATGGAAGTAAACTGGTGCAGCTTCGCTATTCTTGGGAGGAGTATGGGAGGTTCTGTTTCTGCTTAGAATAATTCATTATGCTTTAAATTGAAGGAATAATTTAAGAAAAATTTATGAGATGCTGGGAGTGTTGACATATCTAATAAAATAATGAAACCTTCACCTTTAGCTTAAAGTGTTAAGTATGCCCTACAGATGATTCTCAGAACAAGAGAGACTTTCATTGACTTAAATGAAATACCAGTCATACACAGATCACTTGGCTTCTCTTAGAAGGCCTTCTTAGAGAAAAGGGGTAAGATTATAAAACCAACTTTTTTCATTCAAGTATTTTGTAGGAAATGACATGCAAAACTTCTGGCATGCAAAACTTCAAATTCTTCTGTTTTGTTCTACTTAAAATTAATTTGTTATACACAATGAGAATGTGTATTCACAATGTTCTAAATGCGGTTTAGACACATCTTAATGAGATCTATCGTACTCGGTGTTATATTTATCATGTTGCCTTTACCTTTTTAAAACAACTAGTTTGAGCTGTTACTGAAGATTTCTTGGAATAAAAATAAACCAGGTGTGCTGGTTTTGGCTGGGATAGAGTTAACTTTCTTCATTGTAGCTAGTGTGGGGCTGTGTTTTGTATTTGTGCTGAAAACTGTTGACAATGCAGGGATGTTTTTGTCATTGCTGAGCAGCGCTTATGGAGTCAGGGCCTTTTCTGCTCCTCACACCACCCCGCCAGTGAGGAGGCAGAGGGTGCACAAGAAGCTGGGAGGGAGCACAGCGGGGACAGCTGACCCCAACTGATCAAAGGGATATCTCATACCATATGATGTCATGCTCAGCATATAAAGCTGGGGGAAGATGGAAGGGGATGTGTTCAGAGTGATGGTGTCTGTCTTCCCAAGTAACCGTCACATGTGATGGAGCCCTGCTTCCCTGGAGATGGCTGAACACCTGCCTGCTGAAGGGAAGAGGTGAATGAATTCCTTGTTTTGCTTTGCTTGCATGTGCAGCTTTTTGTTTTACCTATTAAACTGTCTTTGTCTCAACCCACAAGTTTTGTCACTTCTACTCTTCCGGTTCTCTTCCCCCGTCTCACCGTGGGGGGAGGGAGCGAGCAAGTAGCTGTGTGGGACTTAGTTGCCAGCTGGAGTTAAACCATGACGCCCATTCGTTACAAAATTTTGTTTCTTGTTTTGTGCCCTGTGTTCTCTCTAGCTTTGTATTTTTGAGTTTTTAATTTTGAAATCCTTGTTTAAGTTAGTTTAAGTTCTTGAAAGCTGCAAAGCATAGCAATGTATGTAAAACAAGTAATTACCGGCTTGCTGCTTGCATGTGGACAGCAAAAAAATTTCTCTGAATTACTGTTATCCAGCTAATGCTGAAGGGGAAATAAAAATAAATTGGCTTTTGCAACTCGCTGAGCTCTGATAGAAAAGTTGTAGTTATGATCTAAATAACTGCAATTATTTAAATCTTGATGCTTGCTAATTGTCACATATTCTTGAGATTGAAATTAATCAACACCTCTTTGAAAAAGACATCTTTGTTTTACATTTAGAGCAGTGGCTCTGAATGTATGGCAAAAACCTCTAAAGTAGAGGCTTTTTAAGGGCTGAATTTGCATTCATTAGGTATGTAAACTGGCTTGTATGTCAAACTGAGAGGTGCAGGACTGAGCACAAAGTACGTGTATGCCTTAAGTCACATATTGTTCCTGTGGAAGTTGAGTAACAAACAGTAGAAAAACTGATGTTGCTTTATATTTTCTGTCCATATTTGGAGATAAGCAATGAGTCTGTACTGTGGTGTGCAGTGTATTGATTTAACTTAAATTTTCAGTATAAAATTGACAGCTGATGGTTTTTCATCTAGAGTTATACAATGGATAAATAGTGCTTTTCCGTTGGGTCCCATCCCCGTATTCTGCTGAATAAACTGAAAGAGTCAATACATCAAATGAAGTGGAAGCAAGGGATGGATGAGGAATGGAGGTCAAATCAATTCTGTCCCCCACCCTGATCTTCATGAATCTTACATGTGTATAAATTTATAATAGCTGCTGTACTTAAAGATCAACAAACTAAAGGAAGCAGATGCTTTACTCGACACCTGGCGTACTTTGTTAGGTACAGGCCAGAGTTTTAATAGTGTAATATGTGAGCTCCTAGGCGTCAGTAGGGGTGAAGAAAGTAGTGGTAGTTAGTAAGCTTTTTGGGGGCGCACGCGCACACACACACACACACACACACACACAAAAACCAACCTTCATCCACTTTAGGCCCATCCTTTATCCCTACTTTAACATTATTGTTACATCTAACTTCTGCCCTTTATACTTTTAGGGGAAGGAGCTGTGTGTTCTTCTGAACCATTTTAGCGTACTTTCAGATATTAAATGGAAATGTCCTGCTTTCTATCTTAGTGCTTTGACTTGGCCTGACTGCTTTTTAGAAAGCATTTAAGTATGTATTTTTCACTAAAAATTGTGGTCTACGCAAAGCTTTTGTTTTGCCTTTCTTCGGTCTCCTAGTCAGAAAGATGTTATAAAGTTGATGGATCTTTGTCCTCCAACTTCATTTCTGTTGGTGGAAGTGTACAGCAGATGTCCTTCATGTGAAGGAAAGCAGAAGTCCAGGTGATCTTGCTGGACTGTGCGGAGGGGAACAGAGTGGCATTGTACCTTGTGGGAACAGTTGGCTGTGGGTAGGAGATGTGCTGAACTGGCACTGCAGCAGGCAAGGTTGCAAAGCTTGGGCTGCGTGCAGCTGTGAGAAGTTTGGGCTGGAGCCAGCCTGATGGTGATGGCCTGGCTGCCCCCAGGAGGGGGGTGTGTTTGGTTCAAGGCTGTAACTTTATTCAGATAGCTGACTCAAAGCTTGACCAAATCTTGCCCAAGTTCATTTTTGTGCAATAGCAACAGCCCTATCATCAAAGGAGGAGAGTGAAGAGCAGGGTGGGAATTTGTCTCTCACCAGAACAGCAGACATGGTCACATATCCCATTTTAGGTGTTAAGGGAAGTGGGGAGAGGGAGCTCTTGCATTGGGTGTTGAGTGCAGAGCTCAGCTCGTGATCTCATGATCTCATGTCCCTAATATTTAATAGTGTTGGTTGTGCAGCCCTTGCATCTTGTTGTCTTCTCGACATAATTGCCATTTGTTCCCCCAGTATGCTAGCTGGCAGGATAGGACCGAGAATGTTTGAAGATGGCCAAATGTACTTTATGAATGCTCCCTTTTTTGGTAACGGTGGAAGATGACAGGCAGCGTGTTCTGGAGGCTTGCTGCTAGATGAATAATTGTCCTATGACATCGACTAACGTGCTTCAAGCCAGACACATTCAAAGAATATTTCCATTTACAAATTTGTTGAGGAGGAGAACCTCAACCTCTGAGAAATGGAAACAAAATGTTATTAATTCTACAGAGTTAAAGGTGAAATAAGGAAGGCTTAGCATGGTAGAAGCCTCTCAGGAAAGGTGGCTCTCTAGTCCCGTTTCCCCAGAGCATTCATGTTCTGCATGGGTGCTGATAAGTTGCTCTTATTTCTGTTCACAACTTCAAGTTGGTGGGATGCTGAAAAAACACCCCAAGATGTACTGAGCCATTGAAGAACTAGTCAGTACTGACTAAAAATTGTCTTATCAGGGCTGTCAGATGAGTACTGTGGCATGCTGAGGAAAGAGTGACACAATGAATGGGATTGCCAGCTATCTCCTCCAGGGGATTGTTTCCTCAGTTTTCCTCTTTTTGGAGTTGTGGGGTTTGGGGTTGTTAGTTTGTCTTTAGACACTTGTCCACCAGGTCTTTGACATGATATATTTCCTTGGGGCTATTGCGGCAGACAGCTGCTGCAGGGACTCCAGCAGGTAGCCTCTGCACTTGCTCTTCAGTGTCAAGCTTTCAGTCTGACCAAAAAAAAAAAAAATCTTTTTTATTGGAAAAAACCCCCAAACCCCTTAGTTTATAGAGATGATGTTATTATGTAAGCTGAATGTGGTAGGCACTTCTTAAAAATTTTCTCTCTCACTTTTCTAGAATCAGATAATTCCATGAGTATTTGTGGCTTGCTGCGACAGAAGAAAATTTAGACACTGTCCTTTTTAGATCTGTTGTGCAGCCACCCACGTTTTATT